AACCCATAGTGTCCGAATAATAGCTCTCCTCATGACTCACGAAAAATGTCTTATTAAGACGAAAAACCCCTTAGACATAGACTCTCCTTTATGCATTTAGCGAGCAAATAGTTAGCCTCGCTGAATGTCTACCTTCAACTTAGCCTCATCAACTGACACTCCCATTAAAAAAAATGTCGCTTCAAAAAGCAAGCTTCCTTCAAACATTTCATAACCCAACAAGCGAATCGTACGCAACTACATATATCCTCCTCTTTTTCTATTGTTTTGGCATCAATAGCAAGGTCTATTATCTAGCCAGAGACGTTTGACCCCATTCTACTGTGCCCATTTCAGAACTAGAGTACACATCTCTGCTTGCTTTCATAAGTCTGCTATTGTTGAAGAATATTGCTGTTATATTATACATTATCGTGCAAAGAAAGATAGCATAATAGCCTACAAATATGACTTCGGATCAAAAATAAAAACCGGGCTGAGGTGTCACAACCTTCGTTTCGTGACTGAGAAAGATGGTCTATGTCATTCTCGGAGCAAGGTACATGTGAGTACAGGTTCTGTCCTTTTTGTGGACCTACGGTACAGCAGGACTTCGAAAGACATTACTGTCCTTTACAAACTAGGTAGGGTTCAAACGGAACCCGACACAGATAATGTGGGCACTTTTATTATTATTAATTATTAAAATACCCACATTATCTCTGTCTGGTTTCGTTTAAGCCTTATCTAGTTTGTATAATAGAATGACATAGGCCACTTTTGTCGATCACGAAACTAAGGTTATGACATCTCAGCCCGGCTTTTATTTTTCTTTTTATTTATTTTTATATTTTATTATAATAATTATAGAAATGTTACAGCTCAAATATTCGATCTTGTAGCGCCGTTGAGTCACCGTCATTGAGCGATTAAAGAGGGTTTTACGTCTACCAAAACTGTTTACAACCTGTTAATGGTATATGCAACCAGAAATGTATCAATGTAAAAAAACTGGCCGCAGAGCACGCGAAAGCCCTCCTAAAATGCATAACTACGACTTTTTTCGGGCTGCAGTATATAAGTGGAAAACGTACACACTCACAGGTAACAAATACCAACGCCAACCTAGACTAAAGGCCCAGACCCATTTGCCTTTTGACGAGTATTATTTTACAGAAACCGGCGTCCTTCAGAGCGCCAACACAAAACGTAACATGTAGAGAATCAAAAACAACATAAAGTGCCCAGTGGTCAATGGCTACCTGAAAAAACCTCACTCATACACAAATAGCTAAATAAGCTTTTTAAATTCTATTTGTTGCCGTTGGTCTGGGCAAGAATTATTTGCTACTAATCTCTTAGCTAAAAGTAGTGAACTAAGCCTGTTTATTTTCGTGCTTCTCAACGCACCTACCTATGCCTGAGTTCTTATCCCATCTGAGTCGTGTTTCTACTAACGTTTCTGTGGATGTACCCGACAAATTAGTCCCTGCTACAAGCACTTGTCACAAAGATGAAAAAATTATGGTTCATCCTCTCTGTTTGAAAGGACTCGTTTTTTTTTTAGTCGCATTTAGTCAATCAGCTTGGTGAGGGTGGTGAAGCGTGTCCTGTATTTGGTCATTCGATCAGAAATAATCAAAGGTCACGAACGAGGAAGTCGGAACTAGCAGCTTCGAGCGTTTTTTCGGGAAAGGCAAAAATAACAACAATACATTTTACAAATTAAAATATTTCGTCTCAGTTGTTTGAAGTGAATTCGATGTTAAGCTTCATCTTCCCTGTTTTCTATTGTCAAGGTTTTTTCGACAGATCCCGCAACGAATAAGGCCAGTAATATCAAAACCATCGATAGGAGCGTAAACAACACCAGTAATAAAAACTGCAACATCAGCAGCTTTAGCAACGGTAGCTTCAGTAGGAACAACCGCACATATTACGCCAACATACATCGACTGCAACGGAATCATAAAATCGGTCCAAACTTAGCCTTCTCCTCAGCGTAATCACTGTCGTAGCCCCGTTGCTTGAGATCTGAGGTTGCTTAAACGAGTTGCTCAGGCTCCATCACAAGAGCCCTCTGAAAGTATACTGCTGGGCCGTGTAAAGCTTCATGTCGCCCCATGTGCTCACGAGTATTCCAGGGCATTTATATATATACGCCGAGCCTATGTCGGTTGGAATAATTCACAGAGGTTGTCGTAACAGCACCCGACTAAAGCTGCGGGCCGTTGCCTGCCGCAGTCCTATCGTTTAGCCATCCTGAGGAAAGCCTGCTTCTGGAACGGGAGATTTTGAATAGTACAGAGAACCAACCGGGAATCCAAGAGAGTGTGTGATGTAGCAGAACGTGAAATTAACGCGATAAAGGCTGTAGCAAAGGGCGTTGCTTCTAGGCATGTGGAAGTGAACAGAGGACGAGGTGAGTTCGCGTAGAGTTAGCCCGCAGCTCACAACCGTCTCAGGATTTTATATCAGCATTACTGCCACAAGCACGGCTCTTTCTACTATTACTATCAATATAGGCAAGTACACATACGTGGACCCTTGATGCCTGGTTCTTCTGTTTAGGTGTTCTCGTATGAGAGGCATAGAGAAGGCTCTGCGCAATCGAAGGTCTATATTACGTCGCCATCGCTAACGCGAGGTTAGGCTTACTGGACCACATTACTCTTGGCGGTTACTATCATTATCACTACTACATAGACCACTGTAATCTGTTGTACTTCGTCCGCCATCCGGCCAGCCTGCGACGTATACACAGATAAATGCGTTACATTCGCAGATACTTACAGGATTCAACGCAATCGTCCTCACGACCAACAAAGCCTAAACGGCAATATGCCTTCCCTGCGTAGATCTACATGCGCAGAAGGAAAAAGTAAAAAATAGACTTAGTACGTGCTGCTGGGAGTTTCTGTAGCCTCGCTCACTCATTGGTTCAGCCCATACGTAAGGGAATTCAGCCTACGGTAGTTGTGTGGCTGGTGCTAGTGGGTGCCAAGCTGCTTGCTGATCATCAAGCACTACGACGACATAAGTCGCATCTTGGTGGAAGGAGAACGCCTACTTTGTCCAGGGCACACAAGGCGCTTGTGTTTTACCGAGGGCGGATAGAAGAACACAGATGTGACAGTTAGGTGTCGAGTGTCCTCCTGTCCTCTAACCAAAACAGAAGACGAGGGAATGAATGAGAGCGTAGGCAGATGGGAAGGAAAGATAAACCGAAATCAGCAACTAGGAAACTCAATGGGAGCAGGGCGGCTCCATCGGTAAACAGAAGGCAGCTGGGACCGACTAGGTCGAGTATGGCCCGAAACGAGAAACTCTGTAAATGGATCGGTCTTCATTAAGAGGACAGCGCACCGACCCTCGGCTCTTGTCACGTTTTCGCAGTGTCTGCATTTAGATTTAGTCGTGTGGTAGAGCCTGAGGTAAGAGGAAACACGAGGCCTGGACTGGACCAGGGAATTAAATCCCCACTAGAAGGTAGCTTCACAGATGCTTTTAGTTTTTCCGTCCAAGCAGCAAAGGAAGTTCAGTAGGAAAAGAAGGTATTGCTCATTACGGCCTGGTTGTTCTTGCTTAGCATTGATGTGTTTTTGGTGCTTATTTGCGTTAACGGGGCCGAACGGAGAGACTTTTGGTGGCGATGGCCAATCTATTGACGCGACTAGAAGAAGCAGGAGGAGACTATAAGAGGGTTTAGCTTAGAGAACATTATCAGGTTAAATCGTAGTCAGTTCGTATAGCAGCGGTGCATTTGTTAACCATTATCTAAGAAGCTGAGCAAGTCAGCAACCCGTAGCTACTTGCAAATAGAGGATTCTTACCTCAGACCGCTTTATGTTATTAATGAACGCCACTGTATATAACTGCATGTGTTGCCCCTCAGGCTTCTTGAGGCACGTATTCATTTGCTGTTGTGCGTGGCCTAATATCGTGTTAATAGGAGAAAATCAATGCTTCCTTTCGTCCAAACTATTCCAAACGACAAGAGGAATTGCTGTTCAATCGAAAAAGCGCTAGATACACCGTACAAATTCGCAGCCTAACTGTAATGACATTGATGGACACTGTGTGATTTTGGATAAAATGATCGCAAACAAACAGAGTGACATCTTTTGCACTTCTGTCCCAGTTATTGCGAGTATCTTTCATTCTTCAAGTATATATATATATATATATGCTTTCTTTAGCTCAATGGACTTCCTTTAGCTTATTAGTAGGTTCCTGCACGCTATGTATTTACATGTACACAGGCATCACAGCCAAAAGTCACTTATTTGTTTGGCTGCTAGCTGGCTTTCCCGCCTTCTACTTTTTACATTAGCTCATCGCCAGATGGTCATTGTTTCACTGGAAACATGGCTCCTTCCGCCAAGCTAATCAGGCGCTACGGAACGACTTTCGTCTGACACCCGAGCTAACTTCCGCATTTACGCTGTTCTAATATCCGTCTCGTCCTTGGTCAGCAAAAATGGGCTAGAAATCGAACAGTAGGATAGTGACTACCATCCAGCCGCCACTAACCAACCAAAGGTCATTGGAACTCACCCCAAAAGTATATACGTTCCAGAAGTATATTCGTACCTGTCATACGCCGTACGGACACGATCTTAGAATGTGACCTGCGTAGGTCCGTCAATGTCCACATGTGAGATGAGGACTGCGGACAACCAGGTAGCTAAGAGGGTATACAGAATAGCGAAACCTATACGTTCTTATTTGGGAAATATGCTTTTAGAGGATGGCTAAATAGCGCTATTGAGAACTGCTGCCGTTGCTACCGCCAATGCTTTAACCACAGCTGCTGTATTTGGCACCGGTTCTTTACCGCCATTTCTCTATTGACCTCAATAGGATCTAACCCACAACAGACGTCGAGCAGACGAGCCGAAGTCGCGAAATCTAATATGGCAGCCAAATACAAATACAGAGAAAGGGCGAATGAGGATATAAGAAGCAAAACTGACCTCCATAGCGAGGTCTGCTTTTGTGACGGCTGGTTTAGTGGCTGATGCAAGTGAGTTAAGCTAATTAAGTGAGAACAGAGACGAAACCTAGGGGCTTAAGAAGGTTAGTGGATAAAATGATAGGGTTTGTTTTCTTTTGACGAAAAAGCATAGGGGTTAAAGGCGAGGCGCGAATGTGGCACAAGGATTTTTTCCGATGTCCATATTACATGTAATGTAATTGTGCCTCTGTCGGCAAAAAGAACGGTCGGAATTTTAAGTTTACCAGATCAAGAGCTTTATTCGGGCTGGGGAAATCAGAAGTTGCACTGAATTAAACATCGAGAGGGCAAGAAGAGCAGATGGCATTGTCGTGTGTATGATACAAGAGGACAAAAACATTCGATTGCGTAAACGACGTTCTCATATAAAAAGCCTGTAGCCCCAAACCATTTGCTGGATGGTTATTATTTTCATATCCTGTCTTCAAAATAACTCAGGGGAGGCGCGATTTATTTTCGCATGCGCCCTTTGGCTTTTTTAATTTTGTGTTCATATGGCAACGACTCGTAACACCGTGACTCCGCACAAGTGGGTTGCGTATGTAGATGTAGGTCGAAGTTGGAAGAAAAAATACTAACAGCTGTTAGTAACAACTCCAGGCAAGCCCAACAACTATGCGTTGGTCTTGGGTTGAGTTGACTAGAGCTAGCAGGCGCATATATAATAATGAAAAACGTTAAAGAAGTTTCGCCTTTATAATTAGTAGCTAGCAAAAAAAAACGTTTCCAGTCATGTGTTCGATACTGCTGCTGAAAAGGCTGCAGACGGCTGGCTTATACAATGTCAAACGCGAGACCTTTTAGGACCTAAAATAGGCTTGGAAGTTCTTCGCAATCTCTGCACTCTTCTTCTGGTGTCATAACACACAAAACGGACCAGTCCACGACTTAATTAATAAGTATCGTGTATCAAGTAAGTACAATTAATGTACCTACTTGATACACGATACAAACCTAATTGCACGGTGTTATATTTCCAACTATCCAATTTTCCAACAGTTAAACAGGAGCACCATTTCCGGACGCCGCTTACAGCATGAACGGGTAGACATCCAGATTTCACCAATGCAGGGACGCATGTTCTCAAATGCGTATGAGGTTGGATTAGATCCTCAATATATCATAACCAATGCCCAGAAGAATATAAACGGGTAAGCTTCGAACATTATTCGCAATTATCGCAATAGTAATTCGTAAACGTCACAATTTCAAAAACGAAGCCAACTGAACCTTTGAACTTCTTTCTATTATTACATAATCAAAGGTCAATTGTAGCCAGAACTTTCATTCCAAAGAAAGTTCTCAATTTCATAATCGTTATTCAAAACTTCAGTTTACTATTATAGATCATTTCACTTGGCTCAGTCACGCCCTCAACCACACCCATATTGTATACGTAACTTGTACCCAGCTTAAAACATTAATCGATGCTTTGTTGCTATTCCACCGCCTAGCGGCGCCACCGCCGCTTACAATAGGAGTTAGTTATAGTAGCGCAAACAGGTGAATCGGTCTCAGAGAGGAAAGGTCACGTGTTAAGAAAGTAGATCGAATCCAACGGGGACGACTCTGCGATGGAGGAAAAACATACTCTCGAAATAAATTGCACTCTTTGCTCTCATTAGGAGAAAGGACTCGGGTAGAACTTATTGCCCCTGAAAGCCCAGATACCGAAGAACGAAGACGTCAAACATACCGGGTAAGGCAGAAGTGATTCGATTGGTTTTGTGTTCACTATATATATATATAAGCTAAACCATTTTTCTTAGACTTGCCAGTCTAAGTCTCTTGGCAGAGACATCAACCTTGTCTTGTATGTCTCTCTCTCTGGTCCAGAAGCTTACAGCTAAAAATCGTAATAGGCTTTTCTTATTGAAAAATATTTTGGCTTCGTTCACAGTCGGCGCTTTTGTCTCTGTATGAATCGTCGCTATGATATGAAATAGCATATAAAGTCTGCAAATATGTATCATATAAATATGATACATGCACTAGATAAAGGAAAGAGCCGGGGACAGGCATATAAAAATATTGTTTATGTAGCGTCAATCTATAAGAATCTAGAACTTTGCAAACTGATTAAACCGCTATGGCGGTTGTAGCCGGGAGCCACAAATACTACAGACACTGATCGGCTACAACGAAAAGTTTGCTTTGTTTATAGTTTTCACTTATTTACCGCGGCCGAGTTTAGTCAGTCAATAGAACCTAATAAAGTGGCCATTTTACTTCGTATCATCGACTCTAGCAGGACAACGGGACCTAGGAGATCAGGGCTTCCTTCTAAACAGTGCAGAGACTCGTTTCGATTTAGCTCAGCTTGATTTTACACAAAACGCTTAGTTTAGACATGAGGCAATTAGTTTCAACAACAAAAACAAGTACCTTTGTTTTACTTATCCGGCGTTTGGTGTGAGTGCGTTGCAGCCTTAGGTTATGAAGTATTTTAGAGACTGCTAAAGAAAACTTCAGATCTGGACCCGTAGCTAGCCAGTCTCCAAGCTTATAACAAGTACTTATTCGACCAGCACCTGTCAATAAGCTTTGTAATACATAGCGTGTGTTTAAGGATTGCTTTAGGCTGATCGATAAAACGACGTCGTGAAGTGTGATAAAGGCAGGTCTAAATTAAGTGGTTGATCGGGCAACCGAAAAGATCGCTTTTGTCTATTAAGTACTACTGTTTAGCCCACATGCTTATGTAGATAATACGTACGACAACGTGAAACGATGCGCTATATGCCATCTGCCTCTGATCATAACCAATACTCCATCGCTCCTCTATTATATCGGCCGGTTATTGACTCTTCTGTGACAGACAGTTCAGATCTAATTTATCATAACACGCATGCAGGGTTTCCAATAAATATACACCACCAATGGCCAAACCGTTTCTAGGCCATATTGTGAACTTGCTCACACATTCGCCAGAGTAGTTCCAATCGACGACAACTGCTGCTTCTCTGATTACCTATCAGCACACGTATCACGACAGTCGAAGTTTGAGTAGAAAGCATAAAGTGTAATATTATGTACACGCACTCGCTACGTATCTACATTTATTAAGTAATTAAAGTGTTACTGTTTTAATTAGACATATACCAATATATGCAATCCTACCAAGTGAACATCGATACAAAGTCACTTGGTAGGATTCATACAAATCTATATACATATTGTCCAATAAACACAGTAAATCGATTTTGCATAGAGAGGATTTTACTAGAGGACTACCCAAATTCGCAATGGATTACAATTTGTATCAATTACGTCATATATTTTCGCGTTCGGTGGCTCTGAACAGTATTTTGATATATGCGAAAAGTTCCGGATTGGCTAACGGAGACCGAAACTTTTAAAAACACACAGTCCAATTGTATGTTTTTTCCCCGCAGACAATCGTGAACCTTACGATGAAAAATACGACATTGTCTTAAAAACATCAACACAATTCTATCAGATAAAGTTTCTCCTGTTTTATCCTTGAAGCTGTTAGTAAACGGGATAATGTTTTTCTTTTGGCTGCGTAAGTTCTGTAATTTATTCACCGCAAGCTAGTCTATTGCGGCTTGCAAATGTGAAACTTCCGTTACTGGCCAAAACGTTCGATGACCGATTAACAGAACGCCATGTGCGTTGCCAGGGGAGTTCTGAAAATGACATGAGAAGTAGCTTCATCGTCACGTGATACAGCCAAAGTAATAACGCTGTGGGATAATTTTCAACATATGGACAGCCTCCTCAAAGGCGAAGTTGGAATTCCATGAGACCTACAGGCGGTACGTTCACGCTACCCGAAATGGGAAGTTTGACAATTTAAAGACCAACTATTTGAAACCACGGAACTGGGTCGCTGCAGTCGCAGCTAGGGGAACCGCTGAGAATTAACCTCGCGTCTTTTGAATTTATGCAAAAGAAAGGAACAAAACGGACAAACATCATGTGCATTGTTGGCAGGCAGGACTTGAAGTAGCGAGCCCGGTTTTTTTTCAGCCAGAGGTTGCCTGTACTTATAACATTAAAAACCGAAACCAAGTGTACTACAGAAAAGTTTTCTAATTGACAAGCAGATGGGTTAACGAGAGAGTGAGATCGATCCTTCCGGAATGTCAAGTATTAAAGGCCATTCATCGAGTTTGCTGCGAAGATATCACCGCTGTTTGCATTATCAGTATATTTATACAGTGTGCAATCGTTACATGTTAAGCATATAAAAGAGGGCTTCTGATACGACATTATCATGGAACGCCGTTGAAACTGCTGTCTAAGAATTAATAAATAACAAGCAAAACTGATCCACTTTTATACCCAATGGTTAGCTTTGTAGATACTTTTTTAATTTCTTGTTTTTTTACGAACGATGACATGTTTGTTGACGTTTACTTCTCTCGATGGTTACAGTGCTCAGTGTTGTGTACATACATTTTTATTACTATCTATCTACTACTATACTAGCAAACCTTTTGATGGAATTTGATGAAGCCCTTGTTAACATATGTAGATTTGATTTCAAAAAAGCAGCTACCAAGCTAGCCTGACGATTGCGTAATATGCATGCACCTATTTGTACATATCTAATTTTTACGAATGAATTTTGTGAACAAACTAATAATTAAATGGGCGTGGCGCCTATTGCTCGACGTCTTTTCCTTCTGTCTCGTATGGAGGCATTCCTAAATGGTTCGCGGCCTCTTCTCGCCAACCTCAATCTCCTACGAGTCTCTCCATAGAGAGTGACAGTAACTGTGTATATGTACACGAGGATACCCCCGTCGCGTATGTACGGGCAGGCAGAACCCCATCCAAGGCCATTTGTCGATGCACTGCTTACGTGATTGTGTATACCGCATTAAAATATGGTTTCGATGATGACGCGAAAATAGTTGTCTGAAATGGATACAAAGGAAATTGTAAAGGGCGGTACCTATTATAGGACCTTAATGTAGTCAACCTAAATGAGCAGGCCATGATTATCACTGCCATTATCAGTAGATGTTGCAATGTCTCAACAACAGTAACGGAGATAAAATTCGAGAAACTGATTTCAGTATAACTGTATACGCTAGGTATGACGCAATTCGGGGTAATAAGCACCACGTTTAGGCATGGACAGTGGTCATGGATGAGAAATACTCGTATGTTTGAGGAAGGGTCTGTACGAGGGTAGAGGCAGTAATCGTTATATTGAAGAAGACTGGCGCTGCAGACAGATAGATTGTTCGATGCTCTGAAAAACATCATCTGTGTGATTTATATAGACGCAGTATTAAGTTATCAATGTATGGGAACAAGGCAAGCTTTTACGAAGACCAAACCATAACTAAAAAAAAAATATACTGCTCTATATACTTTAGTTTCCAGAACTGCTATTCAACTAAAGTATGCAACATCAAAAAAACCCAATTTTGTGTTCTTTAAGTGGCGTTTTATGGACGAAACGGACCACAGTGGTCAGTATTGATTCTATTGAGACGCAAAATTGAATGCCCCGCGTAATTCACTTGTCGTTCTATGCACCAGGTTGCAAAGCCGTGGGGATGGACTCGAAGCGAATAATACCTGTGTACTTCTGTTGTGAGATTACATTGTCCAACATACCATATGTGGGGTTCCGATTCGATCGAACAGATAACAATATGCAAAATGTTAAATTGTTCGTTCCGAACGAACACAACCAACCCCCCCCCCCCCCCACTATACAAAAAAGACAAAAGTTCTTCCTACGTATTGTTCAACCTTATATTACGTACTATACCGTAATATTTGCACACTTTCAACATCGTACACATATCCTCACCTGGTAATGTAGTAGATTCTAACCAATACATACTTTATACCAGAGCAACTACATGGTCGTACCATTGTACTGAATAGTCTGTCTATTGGACTGAATAAACATGCTTTCGCCAGAGCCTCCTTCGTGTCGCGTTGAATCTCGTCTATTTCGGCAGCCTTGCACTATCGTCTGTCTGTTTGATAGCCAAACGAATACTGCTTGCCCCGGATGTTAACGACACCATCCCGCCCGTAACATCAAGCTGCACTAGCAGTGTCCTGTGTCCGGGGCGTTCGATCGCGTTTTCCCGCTCTTCTTTCCCAAAGCCTAATAATTGCCATCGACGACACCGTAACTCGTGACAGATAAGTGTATTAAAAGCTTGGGGATGTGAAGCATGCATGCGGCAGTGATGGGAAAGGTTCAATTAGGATGACAACGAATAGAAAAGCTCGGGTGTGTTGATCTCACCGTGCGCACGTAGGACACGCAGAGTTTAATCTTTCTGCCTTTCTCTACGTGTCACCTTTTGCCGCTTTCCTTTCGCTGGCCAATCATGGAGTCTTTGATTACGGTAGAAAACACCACCCGTTTTACACCTTAACCAAGTTGTTAAGGTCCTTTCAGTTATTTAGCTCTCGTTCGATGTCGTTGACTTTTCTTAAATTTGGGTGGACTGAGGCTGTCTGCATGAGCGTGTGTCGATTTAATATCCGCTGCATCCTCCTATCAAACTCAGTGGAAGTTTAGGGCTTGTTAGAAGTGTCGTTCTTCCATCAAGTTTCAAAGCAGAAGTTGCACTCCAGTATCGTTGTGTAGCTCACATCAAATGATTTCCAAGGAAAGAGCGGCTTTTCACTTTCAACTTCCCCAATCGAGGCGGAAGCAAAGTCTAAGAACCTTCAAGAAAATCACCAGTGTCCAACAACTGAAAGAAGAGACCTTTCCGTGTAGAAATGAGCCGGAAGAGACACGTCAACGGAATTGGATTTATCCCGAAAAGACCTATCCAGCTTTTTCTAGACACTGGCCCTGCTATCGCAGTTTACAAGGTTGCCTTGAAAGCTAGTTCGACTCGAATCGGCTTTAGCTTATGGTGGTTTTCCTTAGTTAGCTTAACCCGGTACTATTCTCAAGTTGAACGAACGAAGTTGTAGTGAAACGACATTTGATAACTTCAATTTTCAAGGGCTCCGGCTAGCGGGCGCGGTGCCGGTTAGATTTCGTACTACTGCAGCTCAGCCACTCGTGACGATCGTTTTCCCAAGAGGACTGCCAGTTTAGATTGATATCGTGGAGAAATACCTGGCAAACGAAATGAGCCGAATAAGATAGTGACCCTAACTTATGTCGACTTGGCTCGAGCCGGGTTGAGCTTCATGAGTCGAAAGTCGAGTCGGTTTTAGCGACCCAAATGACGAGTGAGGACATTAACGGGCGATACGATACGTATGTCCCTTGTCCGATATTATGAAAATTCGACAGTACTTATCCCGTAGATACCGTGCTCGAACTGATCTCAATGCGTACACATTGCGTGAATAAAGTGCCACGTTCCGATTCACAAATTTCAGTAAGCACTTGAGAAGAGAGCACATGTGTCTTTAGATCTACTCAAGCCTTAACTTGTCATCATACACATGTCTGAAACGATTCACGGGGCTATCCACGTATTTGTATCTGTGGTGATACGTCCGTAAACAAATTTAATGGCACGACGCATATTCTTACATTCGTTATGTCTTGTTGGCTTTAGCGGTTGAAGAGATTGACTTCTCAATGCTGTGTATGTGTATACAGATATATACATCCAACGGGGTAAATGAAAACAATTGTAAATGGTTCTTTAAACTATTCTGACAGTTGTGTGTCTTACTTGTTAAAACGGCCGAAGGGACTAAGCCGTAGAAGTAAGCAGACAGCCACAACGACCTATAATTACGATTAATGTAGCTTTAAACATATACAGAGTGCTAACATTGGCATAAGAGCCAAGTCGATTCTGTCGAGAAAGATCAGGCACGAATTTTTTTCTCAAGCGAATATCTGAAATAGTCACTTCAGGAAAGTACGTGTTGATATACTATATTACTGCAGCAATGTTGCGCTTGAGGCCCGGGGGGTGATGGAGCTTCTAAAGTTTATCTTCATGCAATCGATTAGCCTTCCTTGATTTCATTTGGCAGCTAGAATTATGAGTATAATAATAGGGGTCGACTAACCGGTGCCATTCGTTGAAGAACGATCCCCCATTCGTGCTAGCTCATGCCCTTGGGCGGCAATGATGAACGTCGTTGGTCCACTATAATTATATTCTTTTGGTATCTCTTATATACTACATACACAGTCAGTAAATCGCTGCAAGATTATACCGTAAAGCTCTATTATTATCATAAACTTCGTTATTTATGTTAGGATGACAATTTCCTAAATCTCACGTGTTAAGCGCGACACTCTTTCGCCAACTGAAACACAGCCTCTACATTTTACCTGCTATCGACATTGGTATATACTTAAATATATTCCAAAAGCTGCACATACAGGAACGCCACGTAACTGTACAGCACACTCAACCTTATTACATGGAATTACATAGTATATAAATGAATATAGAAACACAACAGAGACCTGGCTGTTAATAGCATTCCCATGACCATTTCGAATGTTACCGACGGTTCCACTGCCTTCTTAATGTTACCGACGGTT